TTAGTAACCTAACTTAAGGGGGTCTTCCTATGTGATGGGTTGAAAAAATCGATTTTTTTTCATAAATTGCTACCTTAACATGTCTAGAATACGGTAGTAAAGCGATTTTAGAAAATTCGAAGTCGTTTTAAAGATACAGCAGGTAAAAGAAAGAGCGGTTCGGAGCGCTGAGTTGGCAGTTAGAACTTTAAACGCGTTTTTCTCAAAACTGTGTTTTTCAAACTTTCCTCCATTGTATCTCAGAAACGGCTGGACCGAATTACTTGAAATTTACAGGGCACACTCAATATATTTAAACGCATGGAATGAATGAAAAATTTTTTAAAACTTCGATTTTTTTATAGCAAAAAACAAAAAAAAAACCGCCTAATTTGCAACTTCTATTTCAAATGTCTATCAAAAATCAATTATTTTTATACTCATTTGATTATAGGTCATTCCGTGCTTTTAAGCCTACAAATTAAAACGCCGTTTATTTTTTTTTCAGATAAGCCGATCAGCCGGAATCATGGAGGAAGTGGGAGCTCTTTTTTTCGAGGCGGGGGTGTTCAGAGCGCTGTAACTCTAGTTTGACTGAATATTTTTAGCTGAAATGTTATATTTATACTGTCCAAATATGTGTTAATAAATGATAAAAAACTTGAAGCTCTAAATATTTACTGGTCGTAGAAAAAAACTCCTAAAATATCCCTAAAAAACCGGCCGTCACATAGGAAGACCCCCTTAAGTTAAATTTTTGTTTATTACAAGTTTGATTCAATTAAAAATATTCACCTTTATACCAGATCGACCTTGTTGCTTCAAGAGAACATTTTCTGGCTTCATATCACAATGTATTATTTTATTATTGTGCAGGGCATCTAAGCATTGCAGTAACGAATGAGAAAATTTTCGCACCAGCTGCAAGCTAAAACCTTGAAATTTATTCTTCTTTATCAGTTCATACAAATTAATAGAAAGGAGCTCAAATGTTATGCACATATGGTTTCGGAAAGTAAAAAAATCAAACATATGGATAATGTTCATAGTGTTATCTTTATCTTGTTTCCTCAGATGCTGAAGAATGCGAATTTCTTCCTGGGCTTGCCTGTGAAATCGCTTTTCATTTCGAACCATTTTTAAAGCAACATGCTCATGGGTTTTATGATCGTAAGCTTTAACAACCTGGCCAAAGCTACCTTTCCCGATGACTTTGAGTACTTCATACCGGTAAGCAACATGATCATGCGGGATATGAATATAAGATCCTTGTTCATTGTCGAATTCAGATAGACTGACACCAGGTCTGCCTGCTCTTTTCTTAGCATTCGCCCCAATGAAATAAATTTGTGGGTAAGAGAATATCTCGTGGTGCTCGTAAGGAGTGAGCTTGCTCATATACAACAGCATGACTTGTTCAGGGGCTGCCACAGTGGTCTTGGGCTTCTCCTGACTGTTGCTCTGGGAGCTGCCAGCCTCGCTGCTCCCCGTTGTAATGGGCAGAGCGGGCGTGCTGCTCGCAGCGCCGCTGTTCGCCGAGCTATTCATAGGGGGGCTCTGTTTCTTGGCCGTTTTCTTCAATTTCGGCAATGTTTCAGTGGCGTAATAAGAATATAATTTCGTAACAGTATTGCCAGAAGACAAGCCCGACGTCGGCTTATCGCGACAGACAACATCACTCGATTGATGATACATCGCCCCATGGAGCACTAGCAATCGCTAGCGGAGGTGAAAGATTTTTTGCACATTTCACCATCACATTGACTTGATTAGAAAACATGGAACTGACGACACATTTCAACAGAAAAATGACATGTAAACACACTGAGACATGTTAAAAATAATGAACCTGTGCGACGACAGACTGCTCAAAACCCTTTGTTTCCCGATGACACAAAGCAAATCACTTGAGAGTTTTTTGTTGAATTAAAAATCACATTTACACCATTCTTCACTAAACCAACACGTATCGCACTGTCGGTTATGTCTTCATCTATTAAGCCTAATACAGAATCGATGATTTTAAGTCACAAATATTTAAAAATTGGCATCGTCGAAAATGTTCTGTCGTATCACAAGCACGTATGTAAAATGCATGACTAGTTCAGTCGTTTTCGTATGGAAAAGAACACTTGTAGAACTAAATAAGAGTGGATGTGTTATGTTTGATAAGACGACTTAAACGTAAAAACATCTAGCATTCTTTTCAGTCAATCAAATTTATCTCCAGCCAAGAATTAATGGTTATTTGACGGCCATGATTAATTCGCTACAAGTCTCTCGCTAGTGAATTCGACACGAGAGAGATGTCTCTGTAACCGCAGAGGGCGCAGCCGTGCGGGGAGCTCATCCCGAGCTACGTCGCCGAACGCACGCTTACGGTTGCTCTGGGTGCGAGTGCGAAGGCCCGAACACAAACGAAATCATAACAAAACTAGCTGTAAGTGGAATTCTGTCTTAAGGCAATTAAGGCATCGTGCCTTAAGGCAAATTGCAGGAACTTCCCGTACTAAAATATTATTTTTTTTAAAAAAAACGATTAACAATTTTGAAAAATTTTTACTTCGAAAAAATAAGATTTTTGAGAAACTATAAATTGGACAAAAAATTACTTTTTTTTTTGAAAAAAAATTTTTTTTTCGAAAAAAAAAATTTTTTTTAAAAAATTTTTTTTTTTTTTTTGAAAAAAAAATGTTTTCTTTATTGTGACATATTTTGGAAGATCTAAACTTTTTTTCAAAGCAATCGTACTGCCTTAACTGCAAGAAGACAAAATATAAAGCGCGTAAGCGCCGCGTCGCTATCTAACGGATAAACATTGGTACGGAACCCATAGCAATGTAAACAAAATTTATACTTATTGTTAAAATCTCTATAAAATATCTGATAATTTGATGTGCATATGTCTAATGATCATTTTTGACCGCCAAATGGCATTTTTTTTACTTTTTTCTTTAGATCTCCGAAACCACTAGACCTGCCTTCATGAAAATTTGATCGGTTCTTCACCTTGTCAATACAAGTAAAATGTTTTTTGAATTATTAAAATCGAACGCTCCGTTCTCTTAAAAACTGAGGTACCGTTTTTGGCACTTTTTGCCCCATATCTTCGGAACGGCTAGACCTGCCTCCGCCAAAAACTAATCAGCACGTCTCCTTATCAATAAGAATCGAATGTTTTTTGAATTATTCAAATTGCTTCATCCGTGTTCCCGAAATCGTCGACGAAAATTTGTATCCGCACACACATACATACACGCACGCACACACACACACACACACACACACACACATACATCCATTTTTTCTAAGGTATGCCAAAATATTCAGAAACCTTTGAAACGTCGAGAAATGCAAAAATTTTCATTTTCGATTACTATAACTATAACATCTTATTACTATAACCTACGGGAAGTTAACAAATGTGAGACGAATTTAACACGTGCACTGAGGGCTGCCCAGGTTTGCGCAACCATTAGAGAGGTTGATCCGAAATGGTCACTTTAAGCACTAGGATTACCTCTCTATAGAAAACTTAATTTATTAGTAACAGTTAATTTTAGTTTTAATTCAATACTGAAACTAGTGGTGTATGGCATCGTGCCTTAAGGCAAATTGCTGGAACTTCCCGTACCGTAACAAAATGTTCGAGGAATATTAAATGTTTTCAAATAGATTATTATAAACTCTGTAATATCGTCTAATATTTATAAGAATTATATAAACTGAATTACAAAATTAAAATTGTTCACTTAAAATATATGAGTGAGCTTAAGAACTTTAACCAGAATTAAAATTGAAATCTAAATTATTTTTGATACACAAAAAAAAATCTTGAAAAAAAATTAAAATTTATATTTTTTTTTTTCAAAAGTAATTGTTTCGTCAACACAAGCAGAAAGTTTTTTGAATTATGCAAATCGGTTGCTTATTTCTCTCAAAAACTGTAATTTTTTGTACATTTAGCTTGGTATCTTCAAAATGGCTCGACGTGTATTTGCCAAAACCTAATCACCACTTCTCCCAATCATTGCAAATTGAATGTTTTTTAGATCATTCACATCGGATACTCCGTTCTCTCAAAAACTCGACTTGTATTTTCTGCACTCTTTGCTCCGTATCTCCGTAACGGCTGGACCTGCCTTTGCCAAAAACTAATCAGCACATCTTCCTATCAATAGGAATCGAATGTTTTTGAAACCATTCAAATAGGTTGATCCGTGCGCTCGAAAACGTGAACGAAAAAATTCGGACACACAAAACACACACATACATCCATTTTTTCTGAGGTATACTAAAATTTTCAGTTCAATGGTATATATTAAATTAACTTATTTCAAATGTATTTTATTCAAGAGTGAATGTTAACTACAATCAGTAGTTTCCTACAAAACACCACACATATGATTCGGTATAGATTCTGATTAGAATCGCTCAAGCTTGCTGCGAAATTCAAAACTTTGATTAATTTTCATAATTCAATCGCTTATCGTGGGCCTGTAATATTTTATTATGTTATTTCATACTATAAAATATATGGTTATTCAAGTTTAAGAAAATCGTCAACAAATTATTTCAACATTGAATTACGAAGAAACGGCCCAGCCGATTTTTACCAAACACTAATCAACGCAATTCCCAATCAATATCTTTCGAACAGTTTCTGAACTTTTAAAATCGATTCAAAATTGTAGGCTAAAATGTGGACGAAACATTTTACAATCGCAGTCGTTATCGAGCTACATCGAATGGTTTTTCAATTTTTTAAATTGGTCCAGCCGTTTTTAAGAAAACGACTACAGATAAAAATCGGCTCACAAACACACACACGCATCCTTTTTCCAAATTCGGTCTCATTCGATTCAGAATGACGTGAAAGGTAAATTAGCAAATCAGGTTACCGCAACACCTGAACTTCTCACATTTGTTTTTATATAATAATCTGGTCTTTACTTTATAGAATCAAATCAACAACGAAATCAATTATAAATTTTATATTTCATAATAAGACTATAATTAATTTCATTATAAATATAAAATGATTTTTGAGCTAACAAGTTAATTGATAAAATATCTTTCATCAGATCATAGATAGTACAAAACTAATTTATTTTACTGGAATGTGGTATATAGATAAATATTCAAAAAATGTATTTCATGTTTCATTAATGGCCTAAAATACAGCTTATTAATTATAGTAATAGTGTTAACTATATTATGAACAAAATATATGATATTTGAAAATCACGTTGAACAAGTTCGTTCACATTAATTCCTCCGCATAATAAATCACTCTCTCTACGAACTATTTATTTTTATAAACATTCTCTTTCCTCTATCATGGGAAAATATATAGTACAAATTATACAACAACCTAACCCTTAAAATCGCATTATCAAAATAATAAATTACGTATATGATATGCTTAATAAAATCAGCCTTGTAGTAAAATAAATGTTTTAGATGGATAGGTATTTTATATTAATTTTTAATACTGAATCGCAATTTCATGGTTCCATAAAACTTAATAGATAATATAATAAATGCGTTTTGATAAATCGACGCGTATTAAAATATCAGCGCACATTTTATCTTCACTTTGGTCTTTTACACGCTGATGTCCTTTCTTGTCAAATATATAATCCGATACAAATATCACGTACTTAAGTACAAAAATTCATTTAATCTTTGAATATTCTCATATACCCAAAGTATTATCAAAAAATAGCTTAGTATCCTAACTCTTTAATACTAATTTCTTGCTTAATATTTTTACCTAAATTCTAAACTTTATGGCAGTAGCCTACTTCTTGATTATTAGAAGTTACACATGTGTATTTTCCTGCGACTTCGGAAAAGATTTTTTATATGCAGTTTGTGCTTCGGCAATTGTGTCAGGTAAAGTTGTATTATTTGTATCTGGCAAAGCTAAAGAGATGAAACCTGTCACAAGGGCCAACGCGCCCAAACACATTAAAGGCACTGATCGATCGGTGATCTCGCCCTGAAAAAGAGATAAATTAGGAACAAAATTATTTAAAAATATAACAAATAATAATAAAAATGTGGTTCCTTGTATTGGTTTCAAAAATAGAACTTTATACCAACCAAAACAAGCAGCAAAGGAGAAAGTAATCCTCCAATTCGCGACCAAAAACCGCATAAGCCAAGAGCTGCTCCGCGCACGCTTGTTGGAAACAGTTCACTTGTATAAAGGAACATACAACAAAAACATGATACTGCAATTCCTTTACCAGCCAAAATCAAACCAATTATCAACATCCCTGAAATGATTTAAATAATTATATAAATCCATATTGTTTATTTACAAAAAAAGTCTTACGCCTGCCAGTCGTACCTTGATGATGACCAGTATAAAACGTGATCCCTGCGACTGTGGCGCAGATAGCTCCGCACAATATCTGATATAAGGCAGTGGGCCATCGTCTACCAAATTTGGAAAGAGCCCAAAAAGCGAGTAAATATGCCACGACTTCTATGAAAGCCCCTATGAGGAAATTTACGTGTCGTTGTCCATCCAATTTTGGAAGATAAAATACAGTTCCATAGTAGCATAAAGTTACACTGAACCTGTTTATTAAAATTTTAGTATAGATTGTCATAAATGAATAAAAAGATAATATACAAATTATATTTACCAAACCATAGTCATAACCAGCGCATGCTTTCGCAATAATGAATTTTTGAAGATGCCAATTAATCCAATTTTTTCAACAACCGGATCCGAAACAACATTCTCTACTAATTGCTCTGATTGGCATGTTGTGCCATTACGATTCATGTCTTGCTTCGTTCCATTAAATCTAAATAATAAAATGTACGGTAATTCGATATTTCAGATAAACATGCATTCTGTTACAAAAATACCTCATTATTCTATCGCAGACTTGATGAGCAGATCTGTATTTCCCAATCGTTGTTAGCCATAGTGCGGATTCTGGTATATTCCTGATAAAAAATGTAGTGGTTAGAACTAGGAATAGGTAAAAAGATTACAGTAACGTTGGCGATTGCTTACCAACTGTATATTACACTAACTATCGCTGGTAATGCGAGAACAATTTGCAAATAACGCCAATCTGCTAGAATCCATGCAACGGATGCCATGAAGGCACAACCTCCTGCCCAAAATATTTCCCAAATTACGGCCACTGCTGTCCGATGGCGCACAGGGAAAAGCTCCAATAGCAAAGTGAACGTCGAACTTTGCAGACCCTAAAAAGATAATTGAATGGAATATAGTCATCGCAAATTAACCCTAAGATGCCAACTTCCACAGCCCAATCATCAAGTTTTTAGAAGCCTAATATTTTGGAGGTTCTCTACGTTATTTCTTACTATGCTGCTAATTCCAATCTTCCGAACTAAGCTAATTTTCTTCGACAGTTCCTTCCTCGCTTTTTAATTTTTGCTATTTTCTAAATTCACGTAGTGGATATTACAAAGATTTCTGATCGTCAGAAGAATTTCAAGACATTATTCAATTCAAAATGCAAATTCATATTATCAATATTCAAACAACATCATATTCTTAACTTCGGATTAGCCAATTTTATGTTTTCTCGACGCTTAAGGGGAAAGCCTACTTGAGAGGCTTAAAAAATCGATTTTTTTGCAAAAATATCAACATTTTCTTCAGGATTTTTAGGTTCAACTAAAATCTATACTATTGAAAATATATATTCGTTTTGAATTTTTTGTTACGGATGGTAATTGTGACCCGCATCTTCTCCACCAAATGACACTTGCACGCTCTTGGCGCATCGGCGAAATGCTTGTACCCGGCATATTATGACATATATTTTGATAAACATTTAAGCCTGAGGATTTCGTTTCAATTAAATATTTAATTCCTTTCTTAAAAATTCCTCAAAAAAGCGATTTTTTGAAGCCTCTAAAGCAGGCTTTTCCCTTAAGTCATTCCAAAACAATTGAGATCAAATTTGAAGAAAAGTATATCGCTGTTTTCTCAAAAACGGCTTCATCGATTTCAAAATATTAAAAGCCATTCTATGTGACTCGATAGGGAGAAGCTTTGATTATGTTTGCGAGATGGTCTTTCAGTAGTGCTAAATATTACGTCCACGTTTTCAGAAAAATCTTGAACCGATTTTGAAAGTTGAAAAACAGTTCGAAAGATATCATTTGGGAATTGTGCTGATTCGTTGTTGACAAAGATTGTCCGGGACATTTTTTCGTAACTATATGTTAATTTTTTTTAACATAATGAAATTCTAATACTAATTTCGATTCACGAACAAACCTGAACAAAAGCTCCTTGCATCATGCGAAGAGCCGCAAAGACTGCAAAACCCGCGTAGGACCCCAACAATCCTTGAATTATTCCTAAAGCAGCTTGAGTGTATAGGCAAATTAGGGTTACTTTTCGGCGACCCAATCGATCTGCCAAGGGCCCAAAAACTAAAGCTCCTATGGTCACACCACCGAAGTACAAAACTGTGGCAAGCGCGGCGAGGTACCTTCGAGAGCAAACCAGGGAAAACTGGAATTAAATTATCACTATATTATTATTCAAACGAAATAATTAATTTTTAAAAATGTGTCTATTATCTTACGTCAGTGATGATGGTTCTTTCATCTTCGGCAAATTCGAATCCTGTGTGGCACGTACCATTTTGTAAAGACGCGCATCCAATGTATTCTTTAATCGTGTCATTGTCCTAAATTTCATACCAAAGTTTTTAATAAACAATAGTTGGTTCTTTGTTCCTTGAATATACAATAAAAATTACCTTGCAACGAAAAGCCGGTTCGTAATTGAGAAAAGCTGGTTCTGTGTGGTTAAATGCAACTATTGCACTGTGAATACTTAACAAAATGCATAGGATAACTTGATATCTTCCTGTAGTTTCAACTATGGCCCTCACTCGTTGCCGTGTACCATTCAAATCACTATTCTTCATCTGATTGAAATAATAGAATTAATTTATTTTGTTAAAAAAATGACAACAATTTAATGAAAAAATTATATGTTAAAAAACTGTTCCAATTTGTCATATGAAATGTAGAGCAAAACTGTGCCAACATAAATTTAAAAAAAAGTATTTTTAAACGTATGTTTAATATTGTAACAATACTATATTAATAACTGCACAATTAGTTATACAAAATAAAAATTTGTAAAATCTTGATTATATAAAATTTCATGATAACGAAGTAAACACTACTAATCTATAATCTGTGATAAAATTATTGTATTTATCTAATACGTAATACGAGTTCATTTGAATTTCATTCTCCACAATTGAACGAACTCATTAATTTGGGATAATTTGAAAATGTTAACACGTTAATTGCCACGATAATATTAGCAAAATTTCCCATGGGCCATGGTAACTTAAATCAGATAATTTAGTTAGAAATTTATCAAGAAAACTTAATGTGTCAAAAAATTTCAAAAAAACAAAATCGCGTATGTCTGATATGGTTCCTGGAAAACATATTAGTATCAGATACATATGACTAACATGGCGATCAACGTGTTAAATTCAATAATTTTATTAAGGCTTTCACATTTTTTGAACTTCATAGTAATTGTATAACTAAAACAAAAGGACACAATTAGTGATCTAATAATATTCTCTGCACAAAAAGGAAAATAAAGATCAGAATATGTTTTCAAGTTACAATGTACCTTTTCGGTATTGCTGCAATAAGTTAAAATATATCATAGCTATATTAGCAAAAAGACAACCACTGACTTGCCTAAAAAAATCATGACATATAATAAACCACCACAAACAGAAAGGATAACCAAGTCATATAGTTGAAGAAAAGTATCAAGAGATTATAGAACCAATGGGTTGCCTTCTAATAAAAAAAATCACCGCAAAAAATAGAAAAGGTAGCTATTTTGTTGCCTTCTAAAAAGTCGCGTAGTTAAGGAGTATCAAGTATCAAGAGTTTATAGTATTCTACAATTGATTTTAAAAAAACTTGCATTAATTTTCATAATTAAACCACTTCTCATAGAACTACAATATTTTAAAGAATTCATCTTGGCTATGAACTCTATCACCATGGGAAGTTTAATCAAAATCCCAGAAGAGTAAACCTGAGGGTCTTCTTGTTAGTTTCGATTGCTGCTCAATGTATATAAAGTTTTCCTCAAGTATTATTTTTGATTTAATTTTTTTGAAGTAAAAGACTCGAAGCTCGTAAAACAAATAAAGCTCGATGTATTTTTAATTATAATTTTTGGTATACCTTGATTTTTAGTGAGTGTTTTATTAACACAAATTTTGATTTTCATAATTCAAGAGTACTTAGAAGCCATTAATTATATCCATTATTCATATGATCGATTTTTATGAGTTTTTGGATCCCTGTCTGTGGTGATATTTAAAATTAAACCGCCCATCCTCACCTAACGTCACGTGTATTTTTAGTACTTTTAAAGTTTTTCATTTTTTTTAAATTTAGGTAAAAAATAAACACACGTGATATCTTACTGGACCTCCCTTCCCTTTGTGATATTTCCTGATTTTTGGTCAAATCCCTTCCCTCCTAGAAGACAGACTTTTACAAGTTTAAATAAATATTTTAAATAAATAAAACATCTAGTATGATTTGATTGTATTTTAAGTACTTGCAAACAATCGTAAAATTTTTGAAACATTTTAGATTTTTTTTTAATTTTAGGTAAAAAATAAATACACGTGATATCTTACTAGATCCCCCTTCCCCTTGTGATACTTCCTGACTTTTTGGTCAAATCCCATATCCCACCTAGAAAATGGTTTTTTATAAGTTAAAATATTATGAATAAATAAAACATCTAGTGTGATTTGAAATAAGTTACAGTGTGTGCAACAAATGTTATTCCGTCAATAAATCATCCAATTTGAACTTGCAACCGCGAATCTTGAATTCGTACGTCACCCAAATGATTGCCTCAGATACGCAATTGATAGAGTATTGATTATGTCGCGTAACATATTTATTTAAAGATAACTCCAACACAATGGTAATGGTCAACTAAAATGTTTACATTTTGAGAGTCAGAAATATTTATCAGATTGCATCATTATTCTGAGGATGTTTGTGCAACGGTATTTTTAAACTATTATTTAATGGAAAATTACAATCCTAATTATACTCTTAAATATTTTATAAATATTACGTTATTGTTCTCTCTTCTATTGTGGACCATCGATATCGAACAATCGGCCGAATTATAAATATTGATAATTGATTAATAGATTTAAGTGCATTGAATTGAAATTCAATTCATGAACATTAATTGAAAATTGAATTTCAATTCATGAAATTAAATTGAAAATTGGAATTCAATTCATTAAAAAAGTTTTAATATAGGGTCATGCCAGTCATATATGTGCGACATAAAAATAGTGTTTTTCTAGGAATTACGGCAATATTTTTTCTTTGGTACATTAAGTTTCCTTAATGTATTTTTAACTAAATTTATGAAAACAAAGTTACCATGGGCCATCCAATTTTTTTTTCTGATAATATCGTAGTGATTATTATATATAAAAATGAAAATGTTATTGATGAGGAACAAGCAAGTCAAATACAGCTTTGCATATATTTTAGGTAATAAATGTATGTGTATTGATTTAATAAAAATGTCAGGGCTAAGCTTTGCACAATATACTACATCCTTTCAGGTAAAATTTGTTAAAGAAATGTTTTGAAATAAAAAATAACAAAAACTATAAAAATTGTTGATAACGATTTTAATTTATTATAATTTTAATTATTAATTTTCCGTAGGGAAAGTTATAGAAATCGCAAAAAAATCGAAAATAAATTACGTTTTAAAGGCTTTTTTAAAATTTTGGCACACCTTAGAAAAAATGAAGTATGAATGTGTGCGTATGTAAGTGCTGATACAAATTTTTGTCGACGATTTTGCAAATACGGATCAATTAAAAAAATATTGGATGCATATGGATGGGGAGATCTGCTGATTAGTTTACTGTAAAGGCAAGTCCAACCGTTTCGGAGAACCAGTAGATCAGAGATTTTAATAATAGGTGCGAATTTTGTTTCTAATTCTACGAATTCCATACCAAGATTAATAAAGTTTAACGTTCAAAAATATAGTTAAAACAAATGTCCTCGATATTTTTGACTTAAGGGATCAAAAATTTTGAATTGCGGTAAGGAAAGTTCCAGAAATTTGCCTTAAGGCACGATGCCACGCACTACTAGTTTGAATAAATTATATTAAGAAGTTAGCAAGCAGCAATTGAACAAAAGTTACAAAACTGCATATATATAATATTTTTCTAAAAAAAACTTAATAGTAATAGAGTAGTTGTAGGATCAAATGCATACACAAAACAACTTATATAAAAAAATATATTAATCAACTGTAATATATTTGTATTTCAACGAATGAATATTTGTATGAAGTAAAAAGTATCCGACATTACATGCAATAAATTCAATTTTTCGTTAGAATCTTATTCATATTCGTTAAAATTTTAAGCTTTAGGTTAAGCTTCATACATGAAAAGTGTTATATATAATATAATATGTGATAAGATAAAAGCCTACAAAAGTTTTGAATAAAAATTTTAATTAATTTCAGTTTTAATTAATTTTGTTAATTTTACAGTAAAATTTCAGCGAATGTAGAAAAGTTACAACAGTGTATATCTATAATATCAACATCCTGAATTTAAGAATTGCGCTACCAAATGCATGAACAAATCAACTATTATAAAAAATATATTAAACGATTATAATATATTTGTATTTTAATGATTAGATATTTGTATGAAATGAGTTAAAAAACATTTGTATAATAATTAGGCAAATTATAATTCGCAATTATAATCTCCGAATGTCAGGGTTAAATTTTGCACTACATCCTTGCACTTGGAATTTGTTAATTTATAATATATGTAAGCATATAAAAGAGTTTGATGAAGATTTCAATTTATTGTAATTTTAATTAATAATAATAAATTATATCAAGCACTTATTAAGCAACGAGTGTAGAAAAGTTACAAAATTGTATATCTATTAAATATATTAAAAATATCAGAAGTCCCTAATATAACAAACAAATCAACTCAAAAATTATAAAAAAAATATTCGAACTTAAAAAAAATATATTAAACGACAGTAATACTTTTCTATTTCATAACAGAAATTTGTATGTAGTTTGATTTTTCTTCGGAATCTAATTCATACACCTTAAAATTTTGCTATAAATCTGTCTGAGAAGAAACGAGTATAATGATTATCCGTAACGGTTATATTATTTGCATACCGAAAACTTGATTTCGCGAAGAGTTGACCAAGCCAAACTTCGAAGTCTTTGGATAAAAAATATGTAAATTTTATAGAATAAACTCGTAAATTCGAACTAAGAATAATTAACATAATATACTGAAATTTACCATTGAACTATTATAAAATATAGTAATTATTAATACAAGAAAAGAAGTTTTTTTAACATGTTAATCACCACGATATCAGAAAAAAATCACCAGGGGATATTGTACCTTTATTAGATAATATAGGGCAATGTATCAAGAAAATTTAAGGTATTAATGAATTTTTTTTGCCAAAATTCCTGGAAAAAACAGTATTATTATACTGAAAACATGGGCCTATATTAAAACTTTTTTTGCGACAAGGCAAGAAATTTTTAGGTCTATTTGTCAGACATATATGTGTGACAAGGCTTATGAAGAACTTTAGAGCGTCAGACACATATGACTGACAAGTTGATAAACGTGACATATATATATATATATATATATATATATATATATAAGTAAGGATACTCCTCCTAAACGATTATTCGGATTTTGATAAATCTTTTTGAAGTTTGTTAAGGGATTTTTTTAGGATTGTTTGAATTATTGAAATATAGTTAAATTGTAGAAATACATGAAAAAAATACAAAAAACCGCTTATAATTTTTTGACATTGAAAATATTCTGATACATGAGAACTGTCATCTGTCAGAAACGTCAATTCACTTGAAATTTAAATTTAGTATAAGTGATCCTAAACAATATTAGTATATAATATCCATATTCATGATTATAAATAAGAAAAATGTAATATCTACAACATTATTTCCGAAAACCAGCTGAGATGTGCCAGAAATTAAAACAATATAAGATACAATATATGTTTTGGCAGATGAAGTTATATAATTTAGATTAATAAATAACACAATACGTCCAAAATAGATAAACCTAATTTTTTCAAACTTATGTATGTTGTATTTTTTTTACTAAATTATTCAAAAACAAAATAATATTTCTACTTATTCAAAAAATGATTTAGAATTTTGTTTCATGTGTCAAAAATTCATTTGTTTCATTATGATCTTAGATTGAACAGTACCATATGAACTAGATTTCACAAAATAATTCACCTAAGATTTTAACTGAAGTAATAAGTAATTGAGAGAAAATGTCATATGGAGTGCCAGCAAAATATATAACGAATTGCCAAACGATATTAAGATGACCAATGATGACGAAAAATTTAAAAGAAAAATAAAGAAATACTATAAGGAAATTGAAGACAAAGAAGACTGAAGAGTTATATATAAAGATATTTTAATTATAATAGATATTATATTCATGAAATAGTCAAATGAAATGTATATATAAAATATGAAAACTGTTTTTCATAATCTCTCATACCAGGCACCTCTGTCTGACTGAGATATGAAAATAATGTATATATAAATAAACAAAGTTTATTAAAAAAAAAAGATCAACAATATATAACAACTACACAGAAATTGTGTAAGAGCATTTACAATAAAATGATAAAATTAAAAAATAATAATATTTATTAAATTATTAGTAAGAAAAATGTAATTTAGAAATTGTGATTGCCAAAAAGCTACTAATATAGGGTACGCGATTATAAAAATTATAGACTATTACATATATATCATATAAATTATTGAAGCAATTATATAACAAAGGTGATATTATTCTTTTACTGTAGATACTATGTTTATTCTTTCTGAATTTCTTATACTGAACAAAAAACTGCAGTTTCCAATACGTATATAGGTTATGCTAAGACCATAAATAGAAGGACATTAATGGAAATTATGAACTATTACATATATATCATATAAATTATTGAAGCAATTATATAACAAAGGTGATATTGTTCTTTTACTGTAGATACTATATATATTCTTTTTGAATTTCTTTTACTAATCAAAAAACTGCAGTTTCCAATACGTATATAGCTTATAATACATAAATAGAAGGGCATTAAATAGAATATTAAAAAGTATAGGATAGGATATTAAAAAAATTGGAACTTAAATTGTAGACGTGGGTACAGGACGTCTGTCGGGTGATCTAGTATATATATATATATATATATATATATATATATATATATATATATGAGATTCAGTCTTCAGGGCAAAACATCAATTTGTGCATTTGTGAACAATTATCATTATGAAATATTAGGATTACTACAATTACATGTAAGTTTTTACACCATACCACTTTTTATAAATTAGTTTTAATTAATAGTTTTAATCTGTGTTTTTAAACTAAGGTTCACTGAGGATGACACAATGTTAATAAAAATGTTTTAAAAGTCATACAAGTTTTTAATTGATGTATTGCCCTGAAGACCGAATCTCACATATCTCAACATCAAAATTATAAAAACTATATAAATTAAAAAGTATATAAATAAAATTATATATTTTTTAATATATATATATATTGAAAAAATTATAAGTAATTATTAAATATTTCACTTACCTTTAATATGTCTCCTCAGCCGGCTCCAGTTAATTGATTTGTATCAGATGCACAACGAACAGCACTCAATGAACTTCGACCACTGACAAAATCAACGGTCGCCGGCAAGAAATTCGACTGCCGGCTTAAATCGAGCTTCTCCAACGATGGCTCGGAGAACTCCGACTCTCACATTGGTTCCTGGAAGCGATGCGATATGGATTGAGTCAACGCTCATATCGAATGGCACACATTTAGGGTGAAATACTAATTTAATTGATCCGATACTTAATTAGGAACGACTAATTAAAAGTTCATACAATATTAAAAAACTAGTTGTATAAGTAGTGTGTTGTCTTAAGACAAGTTGCAGTATACATAATCAAGGGAGCGGTCATTAATCACGTAAGGTTTTTAGGGGAAGGGGGGTGGGGGTTTGACAAAAAATCACAAAATATCACATGGACGAAGGAGGCGTATAGTAAGATATCACGTTAAATTTATTATCTTCTTGAATTTAATATTTAATAATGAATTTGATTGATCTTCTTGAATATATAAGATTTATTATCTTAAAAAAATCCAATAGTTTTCAAAAAAAAAAAAAAATACGATTTTTTTTTCGTAACTAAAAATACATGTGATGTTTGCTGGGCTAGGAGGGGATAATTTTGAATATGACCACGTATTACCAAGAGCGAGGGGGGGGGGTTCAAAAATCGTTAAAAAATCGATCACGTGACTAATGGACGCCCCCCAACTTAATTAATAAGAATTCAGAAATCATGAAATATCATAAGAGGCAAGTAAGATATCACCTGTAGTTAATTTTAACTAAATAACTAAATCCAAAATTGTTCAAAAAAATTCCAAAAATTTTACGATTTTTTCCAGGTACTGAAAATGCACGTGATGTTGGGTGGGAAAGGAAGTTAATTTTAAATAACATCACATAACATCGAGTAGGGATGGATGGTGTTGACAAAAAACCTTAAAATGCGATCACGTGATTAATGGACCCTTAGTTAAAATATTCAACTGTTTCTTTCAAAAAATAATTTTCGTTTTCACTAAAAAATAATCCATGATGTCTTTCAAATATACTAATAATCTGTAATTGTATACATTTGATGAATTTATTTAAGACATGTCATTTCGTCTATCTCGTGTTCTGAGAATGTATTTTATTTAAGTGTAGACGTCAACTGTAGTCAGTAGCTACCTACGAAACGCCAAAGAACGTTCATAAGCTTCCGATTCCGATTAGAATCGTTGAAGTGTTGAATTTTATTTAAATGTGAGCTTTTATTCAACTGTAATCTGTAACTACCTACAAAACGTCTATCAACGTACATATGTTTCGGCACAGATTCTGATTAGAATCGCTCGAGCGCGGTAAATTATCTAATTATCTAATTAATATCAGTAATTGTATTAATTCGTTTAACACATTTCATTTCATCTATCTCGTGTTTTTAAAAATGTATTTATTTAAGTGTGAACTTTTATTCAACTGTAATCAGTAGCTACCTACGAAAAGCCAAAGAAAGTGCATATGCTATCTAATTAATATCTAATATAATAATACTATAATTTAATCAATATCCATAATAGTATTAATTTATTTAACACGCTGAATTTCACCGATCTCGTGTTCGAAAAATGTATTTTATTTACGAGTAGACGTCAACTGTAGTCAGTAGCTACCTACGAAAAGCCAAAGAACGTACATGTGCTTTGGCACAGATTCTGATTACAATCGCTTAAGCAGACGGCGAAATTCTAAACTTTGATGAATTTTTATAATTCAAACGCTTATCTTAGGTCTATAATAATTTAGTATGTTATTTCAGACTACAAAACCTATCGTTATACAAAGTTTCGTCAAAATCGTCAAAAAAAAAAACTCTGAACATTCAACCCTTTCTCTAAGGATGTCGTCCTCGACTACCTGGGTAAACAGGTGTCATCCATGGACGATATCCGCATGACTTGCTGTGTGTACGGATGTCGTCCATGGACGACATGTAGCGTGCCGGATTTTGCTTCAAGATTTATCACTACGAGTTTAATTTAAACTATTTGTAGTAATGATGATTTTTAGCTTATTAGAAGCGCAATTTTCAATTTGTTTTAATAATGATAGAAAAATCTTAAAATATATTGTTCTATCTGTCTCTGGACTCTCTTAGCGAAAAAATTATTTTCGAAGAAACGTCTCTGCCGACCTTTACCAAAAACTAATCAACGCGATTTCCAACTAATATCTTTCGAAAGATGTTTATTTTTTAAAATCAATTCAAAATTGTGGGCTAAAACATGAACCAAGAATTTTACACTTTTTTGCTAATTTCAAAAAAACGTTTCGGCTGATCGTCGGGCAAAATTGTTAAACGTTAGTCCTTATCGAAATAAATCAAATGGATGGTAAAATTTTGAAATCGGTACAGCAGTTTTTGACAAAACATCAACAATCAACTAACATACACATACTTTTTCCAAATTTGGTCTCATGAAACATAAAATAAGCAAATCGGATTTTTTCCAGGAAACATGAGTATCTCTTCCAGGAAATTAATCAGTACACAATTATCACTACACTTAATGGAACTGACACAAAACCAAAAACAGTATTTATATTTGATTTAAATTTGTTTTAAACACTTTTTCACGAGTATTTTTTAATCACTCTTTCAGAATCGCTGGATTGAACTAAAACTGACGACGGTTGCACAAAACCGGCATGGTGGATCCTCACTACTATTATCGATGGCGTACACAAAAGCGCGTATACGTAGCTAAGTTACGAAATAACAAAGTATCTATCAAACGGCTTGTAATGTTAAATTGTCGTAATGAACTTTGCTGACACCGTCGTCGTCGTGGTCGTCGTCGTGGTCGTCGTCGACTGAATATAAACTTTTAAAATATGTATTTTCTTCCCATTGACAGAGCGGTGTTCGGTTAGCCGTCCTGTACGTAACTGCTGTTAAACACGTGGATCGCGTATATTTCTAGAGCCAACATTGTAATGAATCACTTTCCGTATTTTTTATTTCGTTGCGCCGAGACGAGCGCGCGTACGCGGCCAATTAGATCGATCGCTCAGACGGGCGAATTAGCGAAATCGGCTCAATCGCCGGCTTTTACTCTATTATCTAATACTAACACTAGGCACGGCTTGCTTAGGTTATTCATCGTCTATCCTGAGAAGTGATCGATGCAGAACAGCTGACACCACAAAAAATTCATAACGGTTATCAAACTTATGATTATTTGCATTAAAATGCATACTTACATATGGAGGAACTATCTTGTGTAATGACACTTATATTTTTTATATTATTTTTAATATTAATTTAATTATGATCTCTTCTTTTGATCCCTATTTTTAGGCCTAAACTAGTGGGGCGCATGGCATCGTGCCATAAGGCAAATTGCTGGAACTTCCCGTACCAAAAATTATCATTTTTTTTAAAAGATTAACACGGTTGAAAAAAAAATACTTAAAAAAAATGATTTTTGAGAAACTATAAATTTGACAAAAAATTACTTTTTTTCGAAAAAAAAAATTTTTTTTTGAAAAAAAAAATGTTTTCTTTATTTTGACATACTTTGGAAGTTCTGAACTTTTTTTCAAAGCAATCGTACTGCTTTAACTGGATAGAGACGAAATGTCAAAGCGCATAAGCGCCGCGTCGCCGTCTAACGAATGAACATTGGTACGGAACCCATAGGAATGTAAACAAAATTTCTACTTATTATTAAAATCACTATAAAATATCTGATAATTTGATGTGCATATGTCTAATGATCATTTTTTACCGCCAAATGGCTTTTTTTTTACTTTTTTTACTAGATCTCCGAAACCGCTAGACCTGCCTTTATGAAAATTTGATCAAATCTTCATCTTGTCAATACAAGTAAAAATTTTTTAAATTATTGAAATCCGACGCTACGTTCTCTTCAAAACCGAGTTACCATTTCTGGCACTTTTTACCCCGTATCTTCGGAACGGCTAAACCTGCCTTCGCCAAAAACTAATCAGCACGTCTCCTTATCAATATGAATCGAATGTTTTTTGAATTATTCAAATCGGTTGATCGGTGTTCCCGAAATCGTCGACGAAAATTTGTATCCGCACACACACACACGCACACACACAAGCGCACAAACACATACACACACACACATACATCCATTTTTTCTAAGGTAGGCCAAAATATTCAGAAACCTTCAAAACGTCGAGAAATGCAAAAAATTTCATTTTCGATTTTTTTTGCGATTACTATAACTTGCCCTACGGGAAGTTAAAAACTTCCTGTTTTCTCAAAAAATTATTTGTTTAATTCATGATCCCTTCTTCTTAGCCTATTTTTTAATCTAAAATCCTCCCATTTTCCTGAAAAAATTATACTAATTTATTGCTTAAGCCTTTTCTGAATAACTAATATTATTTATGATTTAACCTCCTTTTTTCTGAAAAAAAATTTCTATGTTATGAAAATATGGTATTAACCCTTTCTTTGTGACTTCTATTTCTCTCAAAAAAATATTAATTCAATTTCTCATTTATAAATATTTTCTGCTTTGAAAATATGGTATGACTCGTTGTTTTTTTTACCCCTATTTTTTAATCTAAAATCTACCTCTTTTTCTTCCAAAAGTAAAATGCAAATTGTTTCTTTCCTAAATCATTAAAAAAATATAGTTGTACAAAAATGTATTTGTTTGTTTTAATAGTGCCTGAACATTCTGAAAGGTGGAAATAATTGTGTAAGATAATTTTTTTCTAGAAAAACGGAGACTTTTGATTTCAGTAAAACATCATAAATAATATTAGCTACTCCATGAAAATAAGATAAGCAATACAAAAATTTTTTCACTAAAAAACGTGAAAATATATACTACAGAATAACATATAAAGTTCATAATTTTCATTAAAAAATATTAATGTTTAAGAACAACACAATTCTCTAATTTAAATAATTTCGCTTTATTCCAATATTCTGTATCAGATCAAAGCTTTTTATTTTATATACACTTTCCTAACATGATCCATATAATAATAAACTTACAATAATATAGCGTTATCCCAAATTGTGATTGAACAAAAATTAATGTAAAAGTTCGCCCACTTTCTATTAAAATCACAATACACAAGATTCACAGAACTCGTTTTCTGAACATTAAGTCACAAACATTTTGAAAATAATTTTGCATTCTGTCACTTTTTAAACAATAGAGAGTAATGAGATGTATGTCCAAATTAAATCCTATTTACATATTTTATGCTATATTTTTATCATATTTCACAACTCCGACGAAATGTTTCTGATATCCGTCAAGTTACCATATTCGAACATAAAATTCAAAATTACGAATATCAATTATTTAATGCCGAATAATAACGTAATGATGAACCGCTGATAACCTGAAATATTATATTATTGTGTCATGAAAGTTTTGTTATCAGAATTTTATCGTATTTTTAGCAAATTTCTGGCGCTACAGTTTATGCGCTTTTGCAATAGACTTTGTGACATGACTCGTCTTATGAGTAAAAAATGAAATTTGATTAATAATTTCTGATAAACCATGATTTCTCAAATCGTTAATAATTCATTAAAACTGATTACGATTAACCTGCTTACAAAAAAAAATAATAATTATAAAATTCTACCCAAATATATGATAGTTTAGTGGAAGCCACCAATTTGTGTTACTTGATTTTTTGTTGGAAACATGATCATAAAAAATATTTCCTAATATTAACGAAGCCAAATATAAGAAGATTTTATTAAGGTAGTCCATCCTAGTGTAATGGCTAAGAACGTTGTCGAGCATAAACTAATCCCGAGTTCGATCCCAGCCTCGACCAGATCGAAATCAAGCAGTATGACCACTTGAAGTTATAGATTCCAAATATAATTGCATCACGTCTTTCGTGGGCATTGCTGCAACGTATATAAGCGAACAAGATTTACATATATATGGTCTATTCATAAAAAAGTGGTTGACCACTGGGTTGCTCTCTCAAGTAAAATACTAGGATAGGATGTACGATAACAAACACAGCTCATAGAAATTTGTCTCGTAATAATAAGAAATTTCAACGGAAACATTTATAGAAATCTGATGTAAGTACCAACTTTTTAAATAGACAAATCGTTCGATACTAAAATACATGATACAACAAATCATATGTTTGCGCAACCTTTGCTTCTTGGCCTTGAGTTATTATGAACGCATTTTATGACTTCATTACATCGCTCAAAGTGGATCACTTCTGAATTTGCAAAATTTACTAAAACAATCCGAAATTACATCATTTATTACATAATTAAAAATTCCTGACTCATTATAACAAAATTCCATCAACCTGAATTCAGCAAATCATAGACGTTCTTAATTCCTTGTTTGTTCTAGACTCTCAGATTTTAGATTGTTGAATAAATACTGTTAGTAATCAAAAGTCTTATATAAATAATACTTATTAATTCAAGTATATAAAATATACACTTGATAATTTTGATATATGTTTATAAAACGTCACAAACAATTCTATTGTTAGATTAAAAAATACGTGGAAATTAAAGTAACCACATTTTTCTAAGATGTTGTGTCTTGAATCGTGATTTTATGCACGATTTAAGTTCATTGAATATTTTCAAAAAAACTTAAAATCATTGTTTTAATTATATATTTTTAACTTCCCGTAGAGTAAGTTATAGTAATCGCAAATAAAAAATCGAAAATTTTCATATATCTTTACGTTTCAAAACCTACTGAACATTTTGGCATACCTTACAAAAATGGAGGTGTGTGTGTATGTGTGTGGATACAAATTTTGTCGACGATTTCGGGAATCAACCGATTTCAATAATTTAAAAACCATTCGATTCGAATTTATAAGGAGACGTGTTGATTAGTTTTTGGCAAAGACAGGTCGATCCGTTCCGAAGATACGGGGCAAAAAGTGCCAAAAACGGTACCTCAGTTTTTAAGAGAACGCAGCTTCCGATTTTAATAATTCAAAAAAGAGTTTACTGGTATAAGATGAAGAACTGATTAAATTTTTGGGAAGGTAGGTCTAGCGGTTTCGGAGATTCAGTGAAAATAGTAAAAAAAATGTCATTTGGCGGTCAAAAATGATCATTAAACATATGCACATCCAACTATTAGATATTTAAGAGAGATTTTAATAATGTGCATCAATTTTGTTTACATTTTTATGGGTTTGGCAAAAAAAAACACAAAATGTGTATTTATTTTACCTAATTTTTTCTTTAAATAAAAAAATACGATTTTTTCGTAAATTTGAAAAATTTGTTCGAAAATTTTACGTAACTAAAAATACACGTGATGTTTGCTGGGGGAGGGAGGTTAATTTTAAATATCACAATGTAAAATGACCAAGGGGAGAGGGGATCTAAAAATTCCCAAAAAATCGATAACGTGATTAATGGACTTAGGGGATGTTCATCACTAAATATTACGTGGGGGATAGAGGATCCAGTCCAGTAAGATATCACGTGTATTTATTTTTTACCTGATTTTATAGTCCAAAATTTTTCAAAAAAAATTACGATATTTTCAAGGTACTAAAAATACATGGGTGTTGGGTGGGGAAAGGTTAGTAATATTAAATTTCACCACGTATCATCAAGGTGAAGAAATAAGTCCAAAAATCCTTAAAAATCGATCACATGATTAATGGACGGCCCTAAAAAATATTGGGGTCCGACTTACTACTTCTCTAGATCACGAAAAAATAGTTGTAACAGGCAAATAGTGAGGCATATAATAATTAACAGTAAAACCTCGTTAAGACAATCATGCTCAACACGATTTCTCGCATAATACACTACTGTATGCCGGTTTCTGCCCTATTGTTTATATCCCGCATAATAGACTTACTCGCATGAAAGGCGTTAACTCGGAGTTTTACTATATATTATTATTAATATGTTGTTTACAAATAGATAAAATCTCAAATGATTTCTATAATAAAACAAATTCATTATACTTGTTGCGTTTTTATCAATTGATTTTGATATTATCTTTGATTAACCT